CCTTCGCTTGGGTCAGTCAAGCCTCGCCGCTTCTCCGCCTCCCAGTCCCTAGCGTGCAGTTCCCAGGCAAGGAGACGCTGGGGGCCCTCCCCTGAGTCCCTACCTGGACGGCTTGCAGCCTCCCCTTTCCTGACAGAAGTTCAGATGTTCGGGGTTTTTTCCTCTCACAGCCCAATGTAAGTACCATTGAGGCTACAGTACACAGACGGACTCTCACTGGCCTGAATTTGCGTCGTGACAGGCAACTACCCTTCCTCTTTTTCTCTACCATACTCTACGCACGGTCGCTGGCACAGCCTCAGCTTCAAAATTGCAGCATGTTCAAATGTAAGAACCGACTCATGGCAGATTGCCCACAATCGGGCCTTTGCTACCTAAACGTTAAAGGCTCTAAAAGCGCTGCATTTCTCATATTTGCCCAAGCAATAAAATGGTCTTCCCAGCACGTTGCTAGCGCTACTGGCCTGAGAGTCTGCCAACGTGCCAACAACACAACATCATATTATGATGTTTCCTCCGCTGGTCCATGTGCTACGGAATGCTATAAAACTTTTGCATGTGCAGCCTCTGGCTCCTGAGTCTCCCAATCAGCAGCCATCATCTGCGCCCTTCCCAAAACGATGAGGGCCAGCCGATGCCATCCCGTGTCATTACTACATTCAATAGGGCAGACAGGTGGGCGGGGCCAGCTATGCCCCCCACATCTTGGGCAATCACTTTCAGGTTTTCGGGCATGCTAGCTGGCGACTGCCGAGGTGGAAAACGCACGAGTCCCACAGCCTGACCATGCCTCAGAAACTCGCATGCTGGCTCTCCGGGCTCCGGGCAGCCAGGTGGAGCGATTGCTTCACCTGGCGGGCTCTCAGATGGGGAGGGGATGGGGGCATAGGGCCGTCTTTCTCAGCAGAACTAGCAGAGGTCCTTCCAGAGCTCGGGCTCCAGAGGTGTCTTAAAGAGGTTCTCGTGTTCACTGTATTCATCTTGATTCGCACACACTTGTCATCGCTTCCCAAGAGCCGCCCTGCCACGGGATCTTGCACGGTATTAGAGGTGAAGTTCATGTTCTGCACGTTGGGACTGCCCACCTGGAACTCCTCCTAATGATGTATTTCTCGCCATTGTTGATAGTGATGGCATACGCGATGGCTGAGCTCAGGCAGCTGAAGCAGTAGCGGCGGAAGAAGGCCTGGCCTCCATGGTGCCGCCGCATCCTGGTCGCCAGCTGTGCTACACATGCGGGTCTCCAGTCACAATGCACTTGTCGAAGCAGGGGTCTTTGAGCTTTTTGAGGGGTAGTCCTCGCACGGGCTGCAGTCGCACTGCCTGTAGGGCAGAGAAGCTGACGGAAGCTGGAAGCGCCTACACGAGCATGCTGCATGGCATGCTGCATCCTAGCTGCTGGTCCCGGGCTGTGAACGCAAAGGCGCCCAGAGGGGCCAGAAGGGCAAGTCGAAGGGCACCCATGGCCACGTCGTCTACACTTTTGTGACCGGATAAGAATAAGAACCAGGCTGCTCCAAAACCAAGTGAACATGTGCTGCGTGTTCTGGCTGTTCTGGGGGCAAAAACTACACATGAGACTTTTTCCAGCTGCCGGCCGCTCATCCGACTGCGTGGCCCGTGCTTTGTTCGTCCATATGACATGGCACAAAATTGCAGAAACCGGCTGACAGGAAAAGGGGAAATGAGCAGCAGCGCAGTCTCAGCGGAAGTGAGCGATAATGCGAGAAATTAGTAAGTGAGCAAACGGAAGGAACAAGACAGTGGAAGAGGGAATGATCGACAAAGATGGGTGTTGCTATCCAAGAAATCCTGTGGCTAACGCAAGATCCAACTGGTGAACTTGGCGTGAGAAAAGAAAATATTCTGGGATTTCCGATATATTTGATCTCTAAACAGCTGCAGGCCCAGGAAATGCATTTGTATCTCCAAATTGTCATCCAATTCTCTTGTTGTGTCATGAGAATGCATGAATCTTGCTAATTGCTTGGTTCACCCATTTCTTTTCTTCATTTAATCGGCTAACTTCAGTTTACTCCTTCTTCTTTTTAGAAAGCAGTGACCGAGCAAAGTAGGTGAACGGATGAAGAAGAATAAGCTGGAAAGACAGGAAAGGAACGAGAGAGCGTTCATGAATCATTTCAATGCTGCCGCTCAAAAGTGCGACCTGGTAACTCTCGCACCAGCTGGACTTCGGCCAGACCAGCCAGGGGCATGAGCTTGCGGATGCTTGCGGCTTGTCTCTTGCCATTGGTGCGCTGTTGGGCTTAGTCTTGCTAAGTCTTGCTGCACGATAGCAATCTGCTCTTCGGGTGGGTCCTCGACCGTGCATGGTCTTAAAACGCTTTATACTTTTGCATGTGGATCCCCTCAAACACGCTCTGCGTCCCACTTGAGCCACCTGGTCCTGCAACTTTAGCACAATGGACTGCGGACTGCCTCGCTGGGTTACAGATGTCTCAACGCCGACGCGTCTAGCCAAAGTCTGTGCAAATCCCGCCTAGCGGCGTAACCCACCACAAGGCAACATGCTGAACTCGAACAAGACGAGATCCAGGATCTCAGCCTTTCTGCGAGGACTGTTTGGTTCATATTTGGAAATTATTTGGACATAGACACTTTGCATCGAAGGATCAAGCAAGCTCCACTCGACTGCTAGCATGTTGCTTGGCATCCGCTGCCAACTGCTCAAGTGAAGGGTCGGTCCCAAAGCATATTGTGCCATTTGCTGGCTTCGTTTTGCACCTTTCCGAATTTCTTCGCGACCACACTGCTCTGTGCGGCTCGGCCAGAGGTGCTTGAAAGCCAACTGACAAAGTAACACACTCAACGCAAGCTGTCAGACCGGTCCTGTGCACGGTTTTCTTCTGACAGCGAAGTGATTGGGCGTTGAAGAACCAGATATACTACGGTTGTGACGGCCAGGTCATGGATAGGTCGTCATCGTGTTGTTTTCGAAAACAGTAATCCTTGTTTGACAGAGGAAATTACGAAAAAATCGAACGGGCTGGAACCTGAATAGAACAAATAGGACACAAGATAGGCCACCAGATCGGAAAGATAGGAGAACATCAGGAAATACATGGACAACTTTAGGAAAGTATGAACATCAATGGCTTCTCCAAGTTTTCCACAATTTTCCTAATATTCCTATGCGTCCTTATTTTTTACAGAAAAATAGTGCTCCTGCAGGCACGCCCATACCATGTTTTCAACACAGTTGCGCTAGAGAGCGTGTAAGATAAAACACAAGCGGCAGCTTGAGCAAAGAATGACACCAGACACTGCAAGGCTAATCCCGCCGAGGGCATCCAAAAAGCCCGCCAAGCCCCCGCAAGATTAGCAACGCAGTGCCTAGGCCAGCATCTGAACCCCAGAGCCCATCCTGGCCAGACACCCCCAAAGTGCCCAATGGCAAGTAAAACCTGGTCTTCCTCCGTACCACCCTTCCCAGTTCATGGGCCACCCGAGAGATTTGTAGCCGCTCAAGCTGGAAGGGTCAAGGATGGACAACTGAACAAGGGTGGCAGCCGGGGGAGAAAAGGACAAAGCATTCAGTAACGCATTGCCCAAGAGGGGCGAGCCTTGAGAGCCAGTGCTCTGAGCTTTTGTTTCTGGTTGTTAGGTAGCTGCAGCTCTGTTAGCTGGGCAACTCCTTCACAGATATAGATTTTTGCGGTCTTCTGAGAGTTCCAGCGACCTCTAACGCTGGTCTGCCGGAAGTCATGTGTGGCCCCTCCTCGCCTCACGCTGTACCATCTATATGGCGCTGTAATTCTGAGTTTTCCCAACAAAGTCGAAAGACGTTTTCATTGCGTCTGAGGCGAGCAGCCAGACAGAAGGTCACCTGGTGCTATTCCACAGAGGTCGTTTGGCAGGGCCACGCAGATATAAGGATCATCGAGCAGGATGGATTCAATGTTGCCCGATCTTTGTCCTGACTTAGGTAAGGGTAGAGTCCAGGTACCTGAAGTGGCTGAGAGCACGAACTCTTTGCAACCCGCTTGGAACAGCTCCCCGCTACGCGGGAACGTATGAAAACCGACCATCAACAAAGAGCTGTACCTCGCCACCCCATTGTCAAAGGCTGCCTGTGCTAGGGCATGCAATAACAGTGGCGTGAAGGGCGGTGCTCGACAAGGAAATTTAGGTCGTCCCCATGCGGCGTGCAGGCGCCAAGCAGCTATCATGTGTTGTTTGCACGCAGGAATGAAGATGAAGTGTCCAATGCCCCTCAAAGCATCAGAAGCAAAACCCTTTGACTCGCCATCTTCCCAGAGATCTTCAATGAAATCACGCAAGTAACGGTCCAACATAAGAAAGGAAGTAGGGTAGGATTTACCAGTATCTTTGAGGAAAATAAAAACACTAAATAGCGCCCCTCAGTTTTAGGTGAAACAACCTGGCTTCGCAGTTGGCCCAGTGCTTTTCGCTGCCGCTTTCGCTCCTCCTAATTGTTTTCGAGATGTTCCTATTTGTTGGAGCGTTCTATTTTTTGAATTTCCTATTCGTTGGCCTAATCATTCCCTATTTTCTAATATTTCCAGTTTTCAGGACACAGATTCCCATTTTGGTTTCCTATTTATTTCCTATTCTTTCCTTTTGAAAATGCAGCTTTCTGGGCATATCCATATGCTCAGCCGACAAGGTACTGCAGTAGAGCAGCGTGCTTCCCAATCAAGAATCACACGGCTTGGTTCCAGTTCTTCATGAAGATGTGCGAGGCCTGCGAGACCAATTGGGCTTGCCAACTGCAGCTCTGTGCTGCGTAGACCTGAGGATGAAGTACCGTGGTGCTGGTGTTTGGTTGGTTTGAGTTCTGCATGAGTTGTATATCTAGCCTCGGCAAGCAGTTGAGGCCGGGCTTGCACGGCAGGCTGATCAGCTGGCATCAGCAAACTCCCTTTTTTTGTGCAGCAGGCGAGGCAACTACCACCGTAAGCACCGGGCTCCAGCAACTGGTCTTGCTGCCAGTTTGTTGATCATGCACTGCACTCGCTGCACGTTGAGACTTGAGAGGTGGTAAGGGCAAGTCACTGAGTCACTGCCACAATCCTTTGCCCTCAGCCTGTCCTTTCAGGCCTTTGGCTTTGGGCTTTCCACCTTCCTTGCCTTCTTTACCATCACGGCCGTCCTTGCCAACTCCATGGTGGAAGGCTTCCTCTGGTGCTCGCGCACCAGCACCTTTTTGGCCGCGCCAGCCTGGATACGCTGTGCTTGTGGTTCCGGGCTCTCCCTTTCCAGGATAATGAGTCGCAGGATACCAGGATCGACCGTTATTCCACTTCTCCTCCCTTCTCCTGTCTGCTCGTCCGATCAGTTCTGGGAAGTTCCGCTGCTTCTCCAGGTTGTAGATGGATCGCGGTGGAGCGGACTTGTCGCCTTAGGCAAGCTTGCGTAGGCAGTTCCCACGGTGATGTTCGAAACTGGCTAGAGAGAAACATGCACGGCTGGAGCGTGTCCAAAAGGCTGAACAGCGCTTTGAGACGCTGGAGGTCATCGCCGCGTGCTTCTGAGAGCATGTGGTGCGCTCGCCTTGAGACGTGCTTTGTGTGAAACAGCTTTTCGGGACCTGATCTGCTGCCACGGAAATGCCTCCACTCGAAACAAAGCCGCTCGAAGCCCTGAAAGCTGACACCTTAGTAACTTAACAGCGAGCACGAACGCAAGAATATCTGATCGTGTCATCTTTCATCATTCACGTAAAGGTCTATCCATCGATGTTCAGGGCCAAGGAACCTAAGGAGCGGCCCAGCTCCATTGGATCGTCGATGCAAAGAACTTGGCGCGTGCTCATTGCCTGTTGCAGCTCGTGCTGCTCCGGAGGCAATCTGTACTTCTGCGCCAAGTCCTGAAATTCCGCAAGCGCTTTTGCAGTCATTTCTGCCGGACCATACATGCGGTATGCAACTGCATTGCTCATGACCTTTTTGCTGAAAGCAGCCGCGCCTCAGGTGGTTCAGAAGGGGCTGGAAAACGAACTTCTGCTGTCTGTTCTGGAATTTCGCGGTCCTTGAGTCCAGGGAAGCGCTTCCAGCTAGCTACAGTAGCTGATGCTTTGCGGGCCTCTCTGTGCTCTTCGTGCAGTTCGTGCTCCGCTTCGTGCTCTTCATGGTGCTCTTCATGCTCTGCGGGTTCGGCTTCCTTGTCGTCATTCTCGCCGTGCGGATCGTCCTGACTCAACGGTGATTGTAAGGTAAACAATGGTAAACAGTTTACGCTGCACACCATTCTGAGCGACCATGCGGCTCCTCACATGCATCTTCCACCTTACTGTTTGTGGTGAAGCAGCTTCATCTTGGGACTTGAATTTCTGCCAAGACGCTTCCGTGGGGTCCAGGGGCTCCAGGACAGGCTCGCTTTCCTGTCCCAAAGCTCGTTTTCTGAGAAGCCTTGGACTCTCAAGGCCACAGCGGCTGCCAAGGCAATGCAGGAAATTGAAGCCCAAACTGCTGCCGGGAAGGCATCTCTCTAAAGTACACCTCTTTGTGGACCCGACCAGACAGCCGGATACTGAGCACATCTGAGTGAGCAGGTACCTCATAGGCCAGATACCAGAAGAAGTTCGCCAACCTTGGCTCAAGAACCACTGTGCGGCACTCTGCGGCTATGCGGGCAGCCATTGTCCCTCTGGAACGCTAGGCGATCCCAGGCTCCCGCCCGTGCAAACTTACGCTTTTGTGGCGCCAGGGTAGCAGTGACTGCCGCTCCCTGAAAAACATGTGCTTCAGCACAATGTTGAACATGGCGGAGCTGTTGCCTTTAGACGACACATGGTTTCTAATGGCAAGAAAATCAGCCCTTATACTACATGGCCCAGCATCTGGTTCCTGCGCAGTCTGCATGTCAGGCTCCACACCACTTCTTTGCTGTTGCGTGAGTGCTGTATAGCTTAGAGTCGTGCTCCAGCGTCCACGACAGGCTCCCCTGATGCTCCCCGTCCTGCCTCCCGCCCTGCCCTGTCCCACCCGCATGCCCAGCAGCTGAGGTGATCACGCAAGTACCTTTCCATTTTACAAATCTCGACAAGCCACAAGCCTCTGAGCGTAGCCCCTGCAGGAGACTTCGATGCCCAAGCTCTCCAGTGCTTCGAGTCTCTTGGCAGCCGGCCAGGATCCAAGAACCACACATCATGAACCTTAGGAGCTTCAACATCACCCTGTTGATGCTTGTGAATTTTGAGCGTCTGCCTGAGCCATGCACGCCTTCAAACAGCTCCGTCTCCCCATACTTGGCACGCTCCGCAGCATCTAGCATGCCGCTTGCTTCTTTGTCTTGAAGGTTCGGCAGAAGCGAAATGCTTTGGAGGAAGTGGACCAGAAGTAGGCAGTGGGAATAGGAAGACAAAGTGCCCTCCAAGGCGTCATTCACCATCCTGCCAGCAAGCGGAGTCAAAGGTCGGCTACTTATGCCAGTGCTCTTGAAGAACTCCCCTAATTAGTTCACTCATCACCTGTAACATAGCTGTTTTATGTAAGCTGGACGCTTGCTCGCCCCTGCCGAGTGGCCGGCTCTTTGCCCAGAACTTGACCAAGCGCCCGAGGCGCGCGACCCGATCATCCAAGCTTGCATAGGCCTTGAGCAGCTTGGAGTTGTAGAGAGGCAAAAGATTGTTGAAGGTGATGTCCTGAGGTGACCCAGCAGCATCACATGGCCATGCTAAACCCTGTCTGCTTCTGCCGAGGCTCGATGGCCACACCGTCGCTGCTTGTGCACTTCAGCACGGGTACCCGTGCTTCTGTCACCATCTCCTTCACCTCCAGGCCCCACTCCTGGCAGAAAACAGCTACAGCTAGGACAAGTTGCCTCAGAAAAGCCCGGAAGGCATCTGACGGAGAAACTTTGCCCTAAAACCCTGGACAATTCTTGTCTTAAGGTTCATACTGACATGCCGCAGGCGTGAAGACGAACCGGCCTCATTTCTTGCCAAGGCCTCTCCCATTGTTCGAACAGCGACAGCCGCACTCTCCTTCTGCAAACGCCTGTGGTAACGCTGCTTGGAATCAGAACACAGAGTAAACTGCGCAATCAGCCTCGAAAGCGCCATTCCCTTGAGGGATGGATGGGCTGCCTTTAATGCCGGCGACGCTGAGGACCTTAATGGATTGGGTCAACCATGGAGCCGAGCATTTCCACCAACACGCCACAACATCCAATAGATGAGGAAAAAGGCGGAACTCACGCTGCTTGAGAACAGACCCTGCCCCCGCTCGTCTTGGCTTCCTGCGTGGAAGAGCCTTGCGCCTGCTGCGCCAGCCGCTCCATATCATCCTTGGTGAAGACGATAACGGCATCAATGTCGCTCAAGCGCGTCTCGAAGCCGTTCACGGCACTCCCGAAGTAGTCCTTGCTGGACTAGCCAGGACTTGCGCCTTACGCTAAGAACCGTCCTTCGCATGATATTCTTTGCAGCTGAAGCTCGCACCGCGCCCCAGGGAAGAGGTTTCGCACAACTGTTTCTAGCATGTGCCTGCCAAGACTTACGACCCAACGGTCCAGTCCAAGCAATACAGACCACAAACCATCACATGTAGTCCCCTCCTCGTATTTTCCATTCTTGCTTCTGCTTCTGCATTGGGCTTTAAGGCCATGGCTAGCTCGTTCAGCCAGTCCTCCTGAGAGTTAGGGCTGAAGAAGCACTGCGACGAATGCGGAATCTATTTGAGAGGCAGGTGACGCCCGAGGTGTCGCTCAGCGGCGGCTTGGTCAAGAGATTTTTCTGCCAGCCCACACTCACCAGGGCAGACTCGATTCGCACCTGAGAGTCGAATCTCGCATGCTGTTCTCAGATGTCCCCAACGTACGCCGAGCTGAAGCTGAGCTAAACTGAGCCAAGTTGCAGAAGTGCAAGGTGGCAGCCTCTTTTTCACCAGGACCCGTTCAAGGGCCGCGGTTGCATCCTTTCGGAGCTTCTTGTGCCGAGCAGCGCAGAAAAGGACAAATCCTGCAGGACAAGGCGCGCAATTCCACAACACAAGATCATGCAAGCAAACGACACCAAAACAAGAACAGAGCTTCACTTCCTTCGATGACTCTGAGCGCTGCCAAGCCGGGGTCTGCTCCATCCGTGCTCGGGAGCCTGTGAGACATCTCGGAGATCCGTTTCAGGATCTCAATCACCTAGGTGCTCTCAGTGCATTTGAAGCTGCCTGCGCTGTGCAAACTGAAGCCCCGGCCAGAAAGCCTGCACCAAGGGTAAACCATGCCTCACGTCAAGTCAAGTTAGGGATGTCGAGTTCTGCTCTGCCAGCATTGCCTGCTTTGTTGCAAGCAGGCAGCCCTCAGTTGCCAAACAACCAGACTCATCTCACAGATGAGGGCAGAAAGGCCGTATGACCTTGAGCTGAAGGTCTGGCATGCAGCCCGAAACCGACACCTTGCTTACAGAGCTACCTACGTAAAACTATGCGAGAATTAGCACATCCCAGACAACAAAAGCATGCTTCTAAATCCTGTACGCTCGCGAATAAATGTCAAAGTAGGCCACCCAAATTTGACTCATGCCGCAAACGTGGACCAAGAAATGCTGACAGGAGGCTCGAGCTTTTTCAAGATGGTTCCAAGCTGGTGCAACTTTACTCTCATTTCGGGCAAGTCGTCCCACGGATTCTCCCATATGGGTCCTTGTCAGTGAGTAGAGTCGTCATGCATGCTTGCTCAGCTGCAGCAGCCATAAAGCAAGGGGCCACGTGACGTGATTCCGCCCTCCAGCAACTCCTGAGCACTTAACACGTTGAAGCAACCATGCTGAGCTACTTGGCATCCGTCCTCGTTGTGGGCCTCTGCATTCTCCAGCAGGGCGGCCAACAACGTGTCAACAAAGACACGCTCGCCCCGTGCCTTCAACTCATTTTCGTCTCAGCCCAGGGGTGACTGGAAGTGGCCTCTCGGCGACGCCCAGGCTGCAACGCCATGGTGTCTTGAGCTTTTCTTTTGTTTTTCAGCTGACCTTCACTGATGTCTTGCGCTGCAGGGTCCTAGTCTGATTTGTCGGCTTGAAAGCTATGCAGCTGTGCTGTGGGCTTCTCCCGCTTGGAGCATTAAAGCGCAGGCTACATAAGACACTGAGCCCAACTGTTGCATGCCCACTTGCTAGCGTGATCAATGGAAGAGATTGGAGTTTTCGGGGATGCTTCATCTAAACAAATCAGCAGCCTCACACAATCTGCGGGATGCTGAAAACTTTGACCGTGCCATCTCGGCACGGGGTGATACGTTCTTCGCGAAGCAGCCGAAATCAGGCTTGGCTTTCCACATACTCACGTGCCTTCGACCGGACATGCTCTTGACCTCGGAGCAGAGGATGCAACAGAGTGCTGGGCATCTGAAGGAGTTTTCTCGAAAAGTACCCAACGAATCATGCAACATCCAGTCGGTTGACAGCTTGCCGCAAGAAAGCGTGGTGGGGTGCCTAGAGTCAACTACAGCCCGAGTTAAAGTCCGGGGCAACCATGCTGCAATGATCTTTTTAAATCGCCGGATAGAACGCTGATCCTGTCTGCACCGGCTCTACAAGTCGGCGAAGCTCGCGCGCGTGTCGGTCCCGCTGCGTCAGTCTCCCAAGCTCGTGGCAAGTCCTTGCCATCAAGTAGTGACAGCGCTGAAGCGAGCTCTGCAAGCCCAGGGCTGTAAAATGTTTCTCAGCGGAGGCGAGGCGTTCCACGACGGCTTCCAGCGGCCGGCTGCTGCTGGCGCTTCTACTCGCGCTGCGGCTTGAGAGCTCCAGCAAACAGTCGGCTTCCAACATGGCGGACTCAGCCCATAGTTGGAGGCCCTCTCCCTCCTGCGCTCCGCATGCGGAACTGGCATCCTCTGCCAGCTGCAAAGCACCCAAAACATCCCCAAGCTCAAGCTTCAGGCGCGCTAAGTGTAACAGAGCCTCACCACGGAGTTGAAGCCGTGCTGCCTCTGCAATGGAGACGCACCGGACGCACGAGGCCAAGGCGCGTACGGGATTCACCTCTAGCACTTGTGTCAAAGCGAGCAGGCTCTCGCAAAGCTCCGGTGTAGCCTTGCCATCCTTGCCCAAAGCCTCTCGTGCAGACTGGTACGCCGCAAGCAGGTGTCCACCATGCCGCCGGCAGCTATGGCTGAATTTCTGAAAGCGTAACCTGGCATCGGGAGAGTCAGCTGCACCCAGCATACCAGCGATTTGGAATAGTAGCGCAGAGCTTGCCGCTGTCTGACCACTTTGAAGCAAGTGCTGGCCAAGCTTTGGGCCAATCACATGCATCCAATGATGGCGAGAGGGAAGATCCTGTGCCAACTTCAGAGCTTCTGCCTGCGATTCATTCTCAGCTAGCTGGCACAGAGCCATAGCACGATCATCTGCACTGAGCTTGTCTTTGTAGATTTCCAGTACAATCCGACAGCACATGGCAGAAGAGCTGAGAGCGAATGTTTGTGAAATGCCTGCTTGGCACAGGAGGACTTTCGGGCGAAGCAATTCCAGTGACCCTGCCTGGGTTGACAGCAAGGAGGCCAAAGTGACATGTGCCAAAACTTCACGTCCAGGTGCAGAGAGTGCTCCAAGCACTCCGAAACCATTACCGAAACGATGTGCCCCGACCTTTCCCAGGTAGGTCCAGGCCCGAGAGGGCGAGCTGGAAGCGTGTTGCCCTTTGTCTGGCAAGGAATCCTCCAAAGGACCTGCAGCAAAGTTTCGATTTCTTGCTGCCAGGAGCCGTGCCAGAGCCAGGCAGCTGAGGCACTCCAACAACGGCAACCCCAAAGCCTCTGATCGATGCAGGCAGCGCCGTAGGAGGGTCGCTGCAGTGCTGGGTAGCTTGCACCGTGAAAGGATCAAGCTGAGCAAATACAAGCCAGCACAAAGACAGTTGGCATCGGAGCTCTCCTGCGCTGCTCGGATGCTATCCTCCAAGGCTTGCAGGGCGTCGTCCACGTTGCTCATCTCAAGGCTTAGATTAGCCAGCGCCAAGACGGCATTCTGAATTCCCGAAGCTTCGCAATCACTTTCAAGCGCCCTCGATCTTTGGCTGTCATGGAAAGATCTTAGGAGGTATGCCGCTGAGTCAGCAAATCTGTGCCGCTCGCTGTCCACATATCGCAGGAAAGTCACCTGGGCCGCTGGCAGCTTCTGTTCGTAGAGACTTTCCAGGCCTTTGGAGGAAGGCAAATGCCCACCAAGAGGAAGTTCATTGAGGGCAGACTCCAAATCTTTTGAGAAGCCGCAAGGATCCTTGCGAGGACTGCTAGTAATGCAATCTGCATCGTTCTTGTCTGTGAATTCCCGGACGGCATCATACACTTTGATGATCTCTTCGAAGCTTGACTGCTTGAAGGCCAGAACAAGGCGCCTTGCAAGCTGGCCAAATGCTCCACTAGAGTGCATGACAGATGCAGACACCAGCTCTCGGCAAATAACAGACTCCAAATTTCGCAGCAGCTCAAACAAAGCATCTGGAGAGTCCAGAGCCAATAAGCCTGCCTGGACAGCCTCCCATGCTTCCATGCCCTCGTCACTTTGGCAGAGTTCGTGCCTCAAATTGGCGAGCGTCTTCAGATTTCCAGGAGTTGCCTTCTTCAATTCCCCTAGGAGGATGTCCATGAAAACCATCTGCTCGCCCTGGTCTTCTGCAAAGCGTAATAGGATGAAGCTCAGGCCCACTTCATAAGGGTTCAACTTTGAGAAGAGTGGTGCTTCGTTGCCCGGCCAGAATGCAACCATGGTGATCCTCAGACGGCAGCACCTGCAAGACAGCAGCCAAAATCCACATGTGAGCCAAGTTGCTGATGATGTTCCATCATCCTCTTGTAGCTTAACTCTTGCAAGACGCGTCAGAAGGCGGCGTTTGTTAAGTTCGTTTGACATCTAGGGCTTTGTGCATGCACCAGCCGGTAGACCTTTCGACCCTGACGAGGCCTTCAGTAGCTGCAGCACTGCAAGAACGAACCGCCAGAAAAGGAAACCAAACTGTGCCCCTAGCCTGAGAGAGATCTTGGATTCAATGGCTCAAAGAGGCTTGTTGAGAAATTCATAACCTTCAGCTGTGGGACAAGAAGCCTGACCTAAAACGGCTTGATTCTAACTGTAATCTCAATTATAAGCAAGACTCGCCCACACACCATTAAGATGGTTTGGTCAAGAAGAAGCATGCTAATCTTGTGAACCGAGACCAAAAGAGTTTAAAAAACAAGTGTGGTGGGGGAAGTTAAGGAGTTTTTGGTCAGGGTTTTGAGAATTACTGCGTCAATGACGGTGTAGCACCCCAAGAATGATAGATATGATTCATAACCTGGTAAGATCAAGAGAGAAGGAAGAGCACATACTGATACATAGGGACAACGACCTTCCAAAACTGCTATATAACTGCAAGCAAAGCGGTGATTACAGTAGCATTCCGTTGAGCCTCGACAGTGCGTGAGCCACCGTGACTTGACTCTGCTCGGGGCAAAGCAGTCCGTTGTGCTGCTCTATGTGCCGGTCACGCTACTTAAAGTCTGCTGGCAACGCAACAACCACGTGTGTGCTACCGCGTGTAAAGAAATTCCATCCGTTCTATCCCGAGGGCTCGCGAGCCAACAGCTGCAGCAGCAGTTGCTTTGAGAAGTGAGCATTTTTCAGAAAAAAAGTCTCTCTTCTCCTCATTCGACCATGGCAGGGCTTCGGAGCTGCTGTCCAAGCTGGTCGCGCTGCGGTGTCTGAGGGCGCAGCTCTGGGCATCCCCGTGTCGAGTCTCGAAGTCCAGCCATCGCTTGAAGAAGAATCGCATCTTCGTAGCTTTCAGCCTCATTCAGGCCCCGGGATTTTTCTTTGCAGACTCAAGCAAGAGCAAATGGCCCTCACTGCGCGTTGCTTTGGTCCAAGAAGCGACATGGAACAACATCGTCGAAGCAGCGCCCGGATCTCCTCATGGTCCACTTCCGGAACTCTCGGCGGCGTGAAGGCTTTGATGTGGGCATCCTTGCAGGGCCATTTGCTTCAGGAGCCTCTGGCAGTTTTCGTGACATGTCTAGCACATGAGGAGGTGCAACTGAGGATCCAAGTACACGGACCACAAGTCGGTGCGCTTGGGGTAGCTGTCCAAGAGACCTTGACATAGCAAACTCTTCAAACCAAAATACAGAGTCTGAGTGCCCCTGCTGCCTTCAAAAATGCTGCGGCCACGGTCGGGGGAGCCAGTCCTGAGGAAAGACAAGGGAAAGGTGCCGTGCCCATTCGTGCGGTTCTGTCCGACTATCCGGATGATCCAAGTGTCTGGTATTCTAGCAGTGCTGCTTTAGAAACCACCAGCGGATGTTTTCGCTTCTCCAAGGCAGCCAAACTTTTAGGAAGCACCTTGCGAGCTCCCTCTGCATCTCCTTGCCTCAGGATGCTGTGTCTACTGGTTACCAAGCGAAATCCGAGTCAAATAAACGCCAAGCTGCTGGTATAGGAAAGTGAGGAAAGCAATCCACACCTTCTTGGAGTGAGCAAACTTACGCGAGCATGCCTCATAGGCTTTCAGTGCCAGCTGTGGCTTCTTGTTGCGCTCATGGATCCTTGCGAGCTGCAGGTACACCTGGCGGATCTTTCGACATCAAGTCCAAGTCATGAAGTTCTGAAGGTTGGAGCTCCTCTGTCGCTAGAACCACTTAACACTTAGCAGCCCACTAACTGCACCTCTTACTTTCGTAGCCTGTAGCGGCAGTCCCCTGCCTACCTGCTTTGCTTCGTTGTGGCTGGCGGCGCGACGGAACACAGCTTCAGCTGAGGCTTCGGTGCCGAAGGTGCACTCCAAGTTCATGAAAGCCACCCAGACATTAAAGCGCTCCTTGCCATCTGCAAAGCCCACCTCACGCAGCTACAGAAAGGAACAAAAACATACCCAAACCGGATAAAAATGATCAGAAGGCTTTGCTGTCTGAGGCTTGACCACGTGCTTGACCGCGCGCTCTGCCACTTGCCGAGCTTTCTCAAGGTCACTGGTCTTCAGGTGGAACGCCATGTAACCTCAGCTGCACCTCACCGTCGAGTGTGTTGCAAGGCAACTCGAACACTAAGAAATTTGTGTGTAGCAGCGGATCCAAAGGATAGAGGTGTCGCCCTGGGTGAGGAGCAAGCGCTCAAAGTCCTCTACACTTTCTGGATCCCGGCCGTCTGCGTTCTCCTCCTCCTGCTGCCTCAACTCTTCATCCTCCTGCTTCTTCTTAGCCTTCTTCTGCCTCCACGAAACATGCAGCATGGGCCCAGGCATGGCGCAAACTGATCATGACTCCTGCCTCTTGCTCAGCTTCTTGGTCTCATGCTCGTCCTCCGCGTCATCGGCGACCGCATCAGATGATGTTCCGGAATCAACCTGCCAAAGGAACTCCCCCTTAGGCAATGCCAAGAAAGTCTCATCACTTCCGGTCCTTGAACTCTGCGAAGTCGAAGGCAGCTGCTCTGCTCGCTGTCTTTGCTTTCCAAGGCTCTTCAGGTTCTTCCTGCAACTCCTTGTGCAGCTTGCAGCAGAACTTGACAACTTGAACCTCTGCATCTAGCTGCAGTGAGGGCTGTGCCAACTGTGCCTGTTGCTCCTTTGCGGCCTTGACCCGCTGTTTCTTGCTTTTCTTCACCTGTGCTTCCTGTTCGCTTCCTGCACCCAAGGCTTTTTCTTCTTCGCTGTCTTGTTTTTTCCTCTTCTCATTCTTCGAGGTAGTCGCAGAGGATTTCACTGAGGCAAGCAGTTCATTGAAATCGTCTAGCTCAGAGTCCTCTCCCTCCAGCTCCTCGGCCGTGAAGTTTGAAGGCTTCAAGGTCAAGCTCACTCTTTTTCCATCAAGCTTCAAGATCTTTGCTTGAGCAATCTTTGTGCCAACAGGATAGGATTCCACACCAATCGATGCAGAATCAGAGATCTCAGACTTGTGCACAAAAGCATCAATGCTGGAGTTGTCAAGGCGCACAAAGAGTCCGTAGGCCTCTACAGCCTTCACCCACCCAGACACCAAATCTCCCACTGCAAGCTGTTCAGATGTTAAGGCACCCTGGCGACCGGAGAGCAGTGACAGCTCAACTCGATCAGCATCTCCCTTGGCAATGTCCACAACTGCCATGTCACGGAGAAGAGTCCCATTGGGATACATCTTGGAGATCGCCTCTTTCATGACAGGCACATCGCTGAGTGCCCTCAACTTGATGCGAGCCGTCAAAGTCCGGCTCAAGGCCACAAAAACGCCTTGAGGACCAGAGCTCACCACATATCCCGAGACTTTTTGGCCCACTTCAAGATCCGCAGCAGAGGCCGGTCGCTTCTCATCAGCTGCTTCCTTGTGGCCGTGCACAAGAGATGGGCGCAAACTCACCTCTACGCGTTTGCCCGGCTCAAGCTCTGTGAGGGCGGCCACTTCGTAGAAGGAGCCAAGGCTGAGTCTCCTAGTCGGATTTTGAGTCCACACGTCAAAAACCTCCGTGATGTGCACCTTTCCCCAGCATTTATTTGGCAGCTCCATATCTGCTGCCACACCTTGGTGGATCTGATCGTGGATCTTCTGGAGACGCGCCAGGACAGGAGACTGTTTCAGTGGCAGCAAGGACAAGTCGAGTGTCTTGTGGGCACTGCTGGATTGAATTATGCGCGTCTGAAAGACCTGACCTGGAGTGAAATGCTGTGCAGGAAGCCGCAGAACCGAGGGATCTGCCGAGCTGTCAAGCAATGATATCCGCCCTTTCAAGCCATCTGCCACCTCCACCATCAGGGCGTTCTTCTGTACAGCCAAGATGGCTGCAGCTACCTTGGAACCTGGTGGGCACTTATGAAGGCAGAAAAACAAGAAGAAGACCTCATCATTTTGAATACCCCCCACCTGGCTTCAAAGACTGACGTCGGACTGCGGCAGCTTCGTACTCGTCTCTGTCCTTGGGCGCCATCAGAGACGGTCGGCACGTCAGCTCCAGGTGAAAAAGGCCCTTCCGGGATTTGCTCTTCTCCTTTGCTGATCTTGTGCGCTTGTGTAATCTCAGCAGCCTGGTGCGTACAATGCCTGCTTCGGGGATGTCCTGAAGCGGGATGGTTCCCCCACTGCCCACATCGTCCAAATCCACCAGCTGAGTGGCATGCACGTGGCCACGCAAGCCCACGGGAGCTGTGCAAAATACCTGGAGGCCATGGATGGCACGGATCCTCATCTTGAGCAGCGACCCGGATTGCAGTTCTTTCTCAGGGTCCTTGATCTGAGCCAGCTTTACATCTTTTCGTTCTCGTCGGGGCTTCCCATCCTCCAGAGGTTCAAGGCATCTCTTCGCTTAACCTCGTCTTCTCCCGTATCCCTGTTCCCTAATCGCATCTGACTTTCTATTCGCCCCATTTTGCTGACAGCCCGGTGCTAGAATGTGCGCCAGCTCTGTTTCGGGACATCGGAGGAGCAGGGCACCCCCAAAACGTTGCGTGACGTGAAAACCTGAACATTACCGAAACCCATCTGTAGTGCAGTCATGACGGCAAAGCAAAGCTACCATAATGAGATTACAAAATCGGGGAAAACTATTTTCCATCGCTGTTGTGCAATGCGAGGCTGCGAGGCTGCGAGGCTTTACGAACGTCTTCCTTCCTCGTGGCACAGATGCGGTGCGCCTTCATGGAAACCTCGCCGGCTTCTGCTCGTTTGAGGCGCTTCTCAGCTGCCTGCTTCTTGAGGACTTCGCCGAAAGTCACCCCTTCCTGGAGCCATGTGTCATTATATTACAGTGGAGGGCATTCCAAAAGTCAGGGGTTAATTTTTGGAATCCATAGTGTTACGTATGGGTTGTAGTTGCACTGTGCCTTGCCTCCGCAAGCTCCTGGGCCGCGACGCCTGTCTCCAGGTTGAGTGTGAGACCCAATCTGTCGCGCTTCACATCAACCTGAGATTCAAATTCAGAACAGAGAGCTGCCGCTGTGCTTGCCAAGCATCACTCACATCCTAGAGTCCTAGAGCCAAGGCACAAAGGCAACTCGACATTGGACAGCCATCCCCAACGCAGGAGCCTCTTCAGCCTCCATGTCTTTGGTGGGGATCAAGCCTCAAACTCAGCGCAATTCCACAACACAATCGCACAACTGCACAAGGACACGGAGGACAAACTGAATCACTGAACCAACCGTCTACATTCGAGCACCTGCAGATGTGCAGGATGGGGCTGTGACTACTCCTGAAAGCATGTTCTCAATCGCGTGTTTGCTTCTTCGCCGTCCTTGCCCGCCGTCTTTTGACCAGGCCCTTTGCCCGACACGACAGACCAAGCAGTGCATTCAAAGGTGGCCCGAGAGCCGCGGGACAGGATGATGGACGTGACTGAGCTGAGGCAGTCTCTATCTTCTCTCTTGGGTTTCATGGTTTCTGACAGCATTCTGCAGCATTCTCCTCGACTCGAGAAGCCATGGATAAAGAAACTCGGACAGGTCGTTGCAATTTTGCATTGCGCATGTCCAGGTTTCTTGTGAGGGTCATCAGAGGCAAAAATGCCGGAATGTCTTGGGCAGTGCAGTAACGTAAACAAAAACAAGCATCTGGCAGATAGGAGCTCCTATCCATCCCTGACCTTCCCTCTGTCTCTGGCCCTCTCAACTACATGTTTCCGCCATTCCTTGCTGCATCTGCATCCAAGGGTCCAAACGCACCACCATAGAAGCTGACAATGGCTCCGTAATTATGGATGCTGCTGATGTATCCAGTCAGGAGCATGTTTGGCCTTGCCATAGAATTCTGCGTCAGCTGGTACTCGCTTTTGACCATGGACTTCTTGGCAGTCAATGTAAGCTGCCTTCTTGCTGCGTGGACATGAAGGACACGACACTTCATCTTGGAACCCACCTGCAAGCGTTTTGGAACAGCGGCCAGGGGCACGTCGGTCAGCTGTCTCAGGTGCACGTGCCCTGACACGTAGTCGCTGATTTTGACGTGTATGCCTGCCGCAGAAATGAGCCCATCCCTATTCCCAGTCCGAATTGTCTTATAATTCACTGTGTTAAAAAGATGATCAACAAAATCTCTGCCAAGGAGCCGTGTTCGGCAACTCGGGTGACGACACCAGACACCAGCTGACCGGGTGAGAGCTCGGACACCGACACTATAACGTCCTTCTTGAGATCAGAGGATCTCCTTGTGAGGACGACCACTCCATCCATGAAATTGTATGAGAGTACTCTGTAGGTGGCTTTGTTCCCTGTTTGCACAGACACGGCTTTCACTTCCACATCTGGATCTGACAGTCTGGATGCGGGGCAGAAACCAAAGAGCTCTCCTTTTGACTTGCCTTGGCATAGCACCCTGCAGCCATACTTTGTCTGAAAATCGTGCACTTCGCCACTCAAAAAATCTCCAATGGCTGCTTGCTGAGACAGGGTCTCCTGCTTCCAGTCTAGAAGGTGCGGAAGCAAAGTCAAGTGGATGATGGGCGGGTCACCAGGGAGCACAGCTAGGATTCGCGCGACAAGACGCTGATTCTTCTTCCAGTCTTCTTCGACTTCACCTGCGTGACTTGCATGGTGGCCGTGAATGGTAGCTGACACCGCGCCACAGAAGGTCACTGATAGCCCGTTTTCTATGGAATCTCCTGAGAAGATCTTTCGAACCCGGGCAGTGACAAGCGACCCTGCTTTTAGCAGGGCGATGTCCATGGCATCATCGCTTAGAGGTTCTGCGCATGTTGACGAGCAGCGGACTGTACCAAGTGAGGTAACAGCTAGAACACCCACCATCAGAATTGATCCAACATCTGGCAGCCTCTCGCCTGCAAGCTCCTTCTTCTTCAGGACACCTGTCAGGTTGTTGACGCCAAAGTCTACCTTCAGCACATGCTCCTCCTCTCCTGCTACGGTGGCCGGCAGCCACATGTTTCTACGGAGGTGCTCTGCAGTCAAACCTGCATTCACCAAAGCTGGACGTAGAGAGGCTTCGATTCTCAACTTCTGCCCTTTCATCTCGCCAACAGTCAGGACAACAGCGACCACGAGCTTTCCGGGCTGGTACAGCTCTGCAAGGCTTTTGCGCGAGATTTCCGCTGAACCATCAGTGGCCTCAGCGCGCTGGACGTACCTCGGCTTACAAACTTGCAAGGCAAACCTTCAACCTCGGACAAATGTAGGCAAGGCACGCGAGCAAATTGTAAGCTAGGCACAATGTGAGATCCTGTGCAGGCTGAAGCAGCAAAACTGCCAGTCTTCCTTCGCTGGGCTAGCCGCTAGCCGCTAGCCTCTTCCGAGATGTCCCGCACGCAGGCCAGCACGAGCGAGCCTTCAAAGATCTAGACATAACAACGAACTCAGCCTGCAAGAAAAACATTTAACAATTGTTGATGCCTTGTGACTGTGATGTTTAGACCCAAGTTAGCATGACTTTCTATCAGGCCTTCCGCCAAGTCTGCTGTGCGGAAGCGTCTCACACGACCTTGTCTCTGCGTGACTGGCATGCATGTGTCCTTTCATGGAGACAACATGCTTGAAGCAACCAGAGCTGGCTGCAAGTTGAGTTGTGTAGATCAATGATGATAATGGAGAACAACCTATGGCCCAAGATGGGGTCTGAGTTCAAGGCGCTGAACTTCTAAAGGCACGTGGACTTCTTCCAAATCTTCCAGCTTGGCCTTCTTGGCCTTTGTCTTGTCCTTCGGCTTCCTGAAAGCCTCTGCGCGCTCGGGAGCTTCAGCGGCCTCGCCCGCGTCGGCCGTCGCCCCTCCTCGCTGGAAATCCTGAGCCATCAGACCGCAGGCTTGCTGAATGCTTGCGCCTTGAAACGCACACATGCAGCCCAGCAGCCTCGTCTTCATCCGCTTTGCGCTTCATCTTCCAAGCTGCAAGCGACAACTGGCCGGAACTAGCTTCGAGCTTGCAATTAAACTTGTGCTTGCAGCTAGCATGTGTTAACACTTTTCAATTAATCACTTCCAAGCAAAGGGAATGTGATGCATCCAGTTTCCTGCAAAATTCTGGCTTGCTTGGTTGAAGCTTGGGATTCGGTGCTCGCCATGAAGCACATGTAGCTGATCAAGCCAAACAGCTACAATTCGGGTCTGTTGGACTTGCACTTGATGGAGAGGTGCTTCCCCAGCCGTGACACGATCACAAGCCTTTTCTTGTGCCTTCTACCCAGCCCAGTCAGCTAAAACAACTGACAGCGCACACCGCCAGTAGTCCTTGCAGGCTCATGATCGTCAACACGTTATGCTGCTTGGAGGAGTGACATTAAAACGCTTAGTTGCGCTTACTGCGACCGGGCATCAATGACATCCATTTTCATCTGGGCCTTGCCGCAGGGCGGACTTCGAACAAAAGTGTGTTTGTCCAGTTGCTCTCCCTTCTGTTCTGTGCATGTCTTGCCCAACACTTAGCCTTACCCATCTTAGTTTTATTGCGCACCGAATCCCAACCTTGTTGCTGTGGCGGGCAGCACTTTTGGCAGCACTCGGTATGCTGTCTAGGTGTTGCATGTGGGGAGCGGCCAAGAGGAGATATTTGCTAGTCCAGGCCCTACATTGAACGGCTTTACAACAAATCTAATGAACATTCATACCAACACCTTCGCCTTCGTCCCCTCAACACAAAAGAGTGCAAGATCCTTCACAACCTCGGCCCAGCAGCCATAATTACCGAATTACCTTATCGGGTGCCTGGCGCTTGAGCATCGCACTGCTGACAGAATGCCCCAGGTCCACGGAGAAGTCCGAAAACTTCTCCAAGAGATCGCGCGCGCTGCCTGTATTGACCGATTGCTCTAGCGGCCTCATCCAAAACCCCTTAGCGGCCAATTCCTACAAAACTGTTTTCTGAACAAAACAACAAGGTCTTGGGGGAGGCAAGGTGCTGAAGTGCAGCAGGTGTGGCCGAAGCCACCATTCCGTGTACTGCAGCCAGTAATGCCGCTCCTCGCGAAACTTGTAGAATCGCCGCATCTCAGACTGAAAGCCAAGTGGCGACATCCGAACAAATCCCTTTGCCAAGCGGGCTTTACTGAGGAGAGGCAGCGGATCGTCAGGCCAAGTGAATTTGTGGATGTATGGTTCGCCAGGAATGAAAAGTGGAATTCCAATTGCATAGGCATCAGACAATCGCAGCGCGTTTGGGATGTGAGGTAACATGGCTACGGCTCGGAAGGATGCAATCTCTGAGTAGCTCATTGCTTTCGACATAGCAGACATAGCCGTCACTTTTCCAACTCTCTCTCCAGCCGCCCGCTTCTCAGCCTCAATGAGTCGCAGGACTCGAAGGAATGGCACTGCTGCAGGGAGGGAAGAGCGGAAGAACAGCAAGTCTTCCTGCACTGGAGCATACCTTGCCGTAACGTGGAGGGATAAGAAGGGGACGTAGGGTACTCGCAACCCAGCCTGCCAGTCCAGCATTTCTGCAGTAATTCGTGAGGTTGCAGTGAAAGGCTTCAGCGGACCTTGCAACGTCGGAGTGACTCGGCGGACCACCTCCCAATAGTTGTCCACCTCATCTAGACCAAAGACTTGCTCGAAATCCACAAGCAAGCACATCACCCGACCAGCAGCACTGGCTCTGGTGAGCAGTCGCTTTTCCCCTGAACCAGCTAGCGATGCTTGAAGCAAGATGCAGAGCCACAAAGGCTCACTGCAAACGATGCTGTGCGAAGTTCGAAGGAACGGCTCTCGGCGAAAGAATTCAGTCAAGGCCCAAAGTGCCTGGCTTATTGTCCACAGAGGTTTCGCCTTTGCTTTGTCGCGTCCTGCGGACTCTGTAAGCGGCTGGCCCCAAAATGCATCCCAGGTAATGCGCAGCGAGGAGCGTAGGGAAGATCCATCTGACAGACTGCTCAACTGCCACAAATACGTGAAGAAATGGCTAGTTTCAATGTGGCACTTTGGCCAAATGCTTCCAATAGCCTCCTGAGCCGCCCGTACGTGTTCCAAATTGCTGGGCCCGTGCTCCCCCACCAGGGCGACACGAATGACATCCAATGTTGTGACTTCTGCCAACCTATCAATGACGGGAGCCCGCTGGGCATGCTCAGGCCACTCGTCTTGCCACTGGGGTTCATAGATTGGAGGGTTCTCTTGGGCCGCAACAAAATCAGCATATCGAGGGAAATACCGGTCGTCTTCCAAGTTCAAGTTCATTGCGAGGTCAAATGATGAGTAATTCCAATTAGAAGACTCAAGGTGGTCGAAGTTGGAATCCAGGATGCTGACGAACGCATACAACATGCTCTCCAAATTGATCTGTGCTGCTTCTGGAGACAACTTGGAACGCAGCTTGTGCACGAGGAAGATGACATACTGCACCAAAACAAAACCCACCGGGCATCGCATGAAGCCAACCAGATTTCCAGCAGACCACTGCGGGGGTGATCCGAAGAGCCCTTGCCATTGGCTTTTCTGCATGGCTTTGACCCAATCTCGCTTCTCACGGATTGGCGTTGAGTAGCCTGATCCATCAGGGCGCCATTCCCCAGCTAAGGGGACCACAATGCCATCCAGGGCACCTATAGCAGTCGCTTCGTCCAGTCCATCAATAAAACGCTCCCACTCCTTCCATTTCAAGTAGGCCAACGTCCCAGTGTCTGGGCTCAAAGGGCCCGTGGAACTAAATGCTTCCCTGAACAAGCCCCAAAACTCGTCGGAGTTCGCGCAGTCAAGGAACGCTGCCGCCCTGCCGGGGTCGATTTGCAGCTCCTGAAGCTCAAAGCTTGAGATTTGATTGAGCATTGAGTTGCTGATGCTACAACTGGATTGCAAACCGTGCTCAGGAATCAAGACACAAAGCCTGCCACTTTAAGCTGAATGATCTATCCAACCGAGTAACATCGCCCTTTCCGTTTCCTGTGTGCAGAAATCTTGGTACAGGCAACACATGCTACTAGCAGCCTGGGATTTATAATTAATGCACATTTAGATTTATCTATAGTTCAGCTCAGGATGTGCTGTTTGCAAAAAGGCTCCTTTGCAGAGTTGGCCTGGCCCGTCTGCATAGCTTGCTTGGCTTCAGATTCAGCGGTTCTATGCCATTCGTCCTGCCACCGCGCCAGCTGTTGAAGAGATCTTTCCGAGGAGTCGGCAGAAGCATGACCCCATCCGCCAAGCCAAAGTGCAAGGAGCCCCTGCATGGTTCATCACCTGTATGCATGTGGTCCATTGCGTTCGCAGCAGAAGGAGACAGCACTCAGCACTGCGAGCAAGAAAGCAGTCATGAGAAGATGATGAGCGGCCCAAGAAGACTTCCATGCAGTTTGTGGGGCATCAAAAGGCCGGCACCAAACCCCGCGCACCCTTCAAAAGACCACAATTTAATGCGATCAGGTCCCTCTTAAACTGCATTTGGTGCGTAACGCGATACAATGGCTGATAATGCATGCACATATGGAATCCAAAATTGGTTGTGAGGGATGTCGAGGAACATCTTAGCATTTGGTCAAGTCAACATACCAAAGGAAGCAACCTGGTGGTGTGAATAAAGCATTCTCACATGGGCTGACATGACAACAAGCCACAAACTTTGCACTGTTGGGGATTTGCATGGCTAATATGAGGCCATTGTCAAAGAGGTTGTCAAAATCTGCAAAAACGACTGCGCCGAGGAAGTTTTAAGTCTGCCATACAGGTGGTGCACGTGGATGCAGGGAACTGTGTGCACTCTACGCCAAGCTTTTTGGGAACTCACGCCAGGCATGCGCTGATGCTCGATGTAGCGGTGAAGGCCAGCTTCGCCAGGCTCGTGGAGCAACGTCTAGGAACGGCTGTGGTAACATGTCATTTCACCTATGGGGGTCGATTTTGTCAGAACCGTGGGGTCGCTCGCAAATTAGACCCATTGTGTGCTCTTACATCCTGATTATACCCCTCTGGAAGCACTCTTCTTGGGCTTTGCCGAAAGCCAGTGGCTGCCAAGGCTCTCTTTATTTGGAAGCCTCACCGCCGCCGGGTGGGGGCGATCCAACAGAGCAATCTGGTCCATTGGTTCAAACGTCCAAAGAAGCGATAACGGTGCGAAACCTTATAAGGAGTGCAGAAGGACGTTGTAGATTACAGAGAGAAGATTTCAAATTCAAGGGGAGATGGGCTCCTCTACACCCCCCCCCATTCCCTTAAAGCGAAAAAATCGGAACCGTGAAAGCTCCTAACACTTCTTCAAACATCAGCCATCTACATCCTCCCACCCGCTTAAAGCGAAAAAATCGGAGCCATCAAAGCTCCTAACACTTCTTCAAACATCAGCCA